TTCATACCGTTGTCGATTTTCGTTGGAATAGATTTAGGAATTTTTTTAACAACGCCTTATTGAATTTAGAGTTCCTCAAATACATTTATTGCGGTTATGTATACTGATTTTGTAACCAATACATCCTTGTGTCATGTAGCGGAATTCATTTGTTCATACATTCGTTCATTTGTTCGTTCTTTCTTAACAGTCCATCAAAAGTCCACTGCTGTACATAGGACTCCCCCATAGATAGACGATTGCATCATAAATACTACGCCTGGCAGGCCATAGTTTTATTTTTTTAATTATTTTCGGTGGTTATCAGGAAAGTGCTGTTTCCCATTACCAGTTTAAATTTCCCTCGGTCGCCTCTCAAAACACCCACAGGGTAATTATGTATTCTTACGCCACCATTACAACCGCAGAAAAAAATAAATATGGCGGAGTCCGGTTCAATTAATTACAATATAAATTAATAAATAAACAGTGCAACAAGTACGACTCCATGTCAAACCTCTAATCAATGAGGTTTCACAAAAAGAAAATAATGAAGAGTTATTTATAGAATTAATAATTTTATTTTCTACAATCACAGGAGAAAGCTACGGTTATGCTTATTTGGGTCGTAATAACGACCATTTGGCTGATACAAACATTTATTCTCTTAATTGTTTTTATTTATCTATATCATTTACAAGTGAACAAGATCGCTGGAGTAATGTCGTTTATATTTGGACCAATAGCCGTAGGTAAGAAAAATTATTATGAAATTTTCGTAATGAAATTTATGGTGGAATTCGATCAGATTCAATATTAAAGTGCAATAACGTAGGAAAGTAGATAACAAACAGTTGAACTAAGCTCTGTGAGTCCCAAATCAATACGATTTAAAGTGAACGCACATTTATCAGCACCGTACGTACCGAAAGCACCATATGCGCCGCATTTACTGATGGACTCGCTCGAAAGAAAATAAAATGTGAAGAAAAAGATTCTGGATTCACAATATTAATTTCAAAAGGCAGTTGTATGGAGAATATTATACGTTATATAAAGACTTATTGGACGATGATAAACGATTTTTCAGATATATATTTGCATATGATGGATGGATCGTCTTAAGCATGTCTTGTCTGACTACTCATTATTGTCTACACAGTAGTACACACAGTACAGTAGTACTCCTAAATATAGTAAAAGTAAGCGTTAATGGTGAAGTGATCATCTTGCCATTAATTGAATCCTAATTCTGCTGAAGCACTGGAAAAAACTAGCCACTGTAAACAATATTTCTCTACTAGAAGGGTAGTTATAATCACGGGTTTTGGTGGAAAATCCACTAAGTAGGCAACTTTAGGTAAAATTGAGTATTAGCACGCATCAAACGCGCCGCACCATATGATATCATCAGCATGTCTCCTTTAATATTCGGATCATCATCCTCATCATCATTACAGCCCTTCACAAGTCCACTGCTGAACGTAGGCCTCCCCCAAGTAATGCCACAAAGCACGGTCCTGAGCCACCTGCATCCATCGACTTCCTGCATGTCTTACCAGGTCGTCACTCCATCTAGTGGGGGGTCGCCCTACACTACGCCTACCGGTACGAGGCTGCCACTCGAGAACCTTTCTTCCCCATCGGTTATCGGTTCTTCGAGCTAAATGGCCGGCCCATTGCCACTTCAGCTTACTAATCCGTTGGGCTATGTCGGTTACTCCGGTTTTACTGCGGATATCCTCATTTCTGAGTCTATCACGCAGTGAAACTCCGAGCATAGCCCTCTACATAGCTCGCTGAGCGACCTTGAGCGTCCTCATACGGCCAGCGGTGAAGGACCACGTCTCAGATCCGTAAGTCATCACTGGCAACACGCACTGGTTATTCGGATACCTACCGGATTTTATAAAATCGGCGGGTACGATGCGGGTGAAATGTGCGAGGTTTCATACGATTTAATACAACGAATTCTAAAATATGGCGCGGTTGGTGCGTGCTGCGCGTACTGTACCGACAAATGTGCCTTCCCCTTAAGTTGAAATTTTTGCTTTTAAATATCAGACAAATTATTGATTTTCGTGTCTCAATTTAGTGAAATTCGAATTGTAGTAAAATTAGTTGTAGTTTTATAATAACAATAATAATTTTTATAGATGATTGTACAGTGAATACGTGAAGTATTTGATAGTTACCTAAGAGAATACCTGAATCTTAGCAATCAGCACCCTCTCCCATTAACAATAATGTTTCAAAGAGAATAAGAATACTTTAACTTACCGCTAGTATATTACCGCTATTACCGCTATTGAGAATTTCTTGACGGAAAAATTCAATAATTAATTTTTTCGCCCGACCCGGGATTCGAACCCAGAATACTATATAATATGTATAGAGTGATTAAAAAGGTGAATGGCAGTTGAACAAGTCATTGCATTGACATCTAAACGTGACGCTTAAAGTAATTGTGCCCGTTAGTGTCTTGACTTAGAGTTTGCGGGAACCGACTAGTCAATTAAACGCCCAAAGAATTCACTAACTGTGAAAATCACACCCATCGCTTAGCGCCTGAGCTACCACGCCTCTTTTTATACCGTTCTTATTTAAATATTTTTCTTGCATTTCAGCTGTAATCGCATATTTCATTTTTATCGTGCTTGGACACTGGCATGAACTGAAGAATGGCATATTATAATTTTTCGTGTACTTGTGTATCTTGCCGTCATTGTCTTAACTTCAAGGATTGAATAAACAAATAAAATTTAGTGCTACTGAAATTGTAATTTAGTGCTACTTACTTTGAAACTAATTTTTCTTCATTAGCTCGTGTATTGACTGCGTTTATGGTGGAGAGGTCCATATATTATGCCTAGTAGGGAGTAGTTATCGTAATCGCCAAAGCTTGACAAGCTGCATGACGATCGCTGTACCAGTTATTTTACAAACTATAATGCTACTCACCGTCAAGCTAGGAGTTTCGGATCAAACATGCATGTTCTAGATAGATGTAAGTTGTCCCTGATCAATCTGACAACAGACACGCGTTGCCTCAATTCAAGTAGTTGAGATCTCTTTTATACACTTTTTAATATTTCTGATTTCCTATCAAATCCAAGTTAAAGTCACCGAATCCGCTCACTTACGCGATACCTCTTACGTGGAACGAGTGAATCACTCCTCAACAAACGCCGTTCACCAGCTTATTGTACTTGAATCCGACGTTGTAGACATCCCGGAGACGGATTACTCACCACCCACATAATATTGTTCACGCTCTCTGGACTCTTGCTCCTAGCCGTGGAACGTAAATATGTATTAAAAAAATTGCATTACTTTATGAGATTGATTATGACTATGCCATAATTCTTATATTATAGATAATAAGTTGATATGATACCGTATTAGTGCGTTTAAGTTCCACTTTATTTTTTTCTCTTAGCGGTAGGACATCCTGCCACTAATTAATATCCTAAATTAGTCTTTCTTATTAAAAAAAAAACTAATATATAATAATCTTTTAATTATATTAAGTTGTTAAGTGTTTATTTTATATTTTATTTAAGTATAAGTTTTGTTAACCATGCTCTTAAGTGTTGTTTACATCTGTAAAGACATTCCAGATGGCTATTATACTTTTTGTATTAAAAAAATTAGAATTTTGTATCAGTAAATATTAAAGGTGTTATTTTATTTTTTTACGTGTAATAAAGAATTTTCTTTTCTTTTTTTTTGTTTTATATTGTTTTTTTTTATGATGCCATAAATAAATCTGAAGGTAACGCTACATTTGGCAAGTATAGAAAAAGTGACAAAGATTACATGTTTATATTTACCAAACACATTGGTTTGACGTATTTTGTAATGATTTTGTGATGCATTCGATCAGATAGCCCCTTAGTGAAAGGTTTTAAAATTAGTTCTATGAATATATTTAGCGAAGCGTTTACTTCGCACAGACTGGTAGATATATAAAATAAATCTAAACTTTAAGATGACAGTCCCTCGTAGCAGAGCATAAGTGAACGCAAGGGCTATTGTGATTGGTATTGTTATAGTGATCAATTAAATTAAAAATCAAGATGTATCTATGAATGATATTGTTGCGAGCTTAAGGTTCGTGACAATAAAAACTGCCGATTGAATTACCTTTACACTTTTATTAGAGAATACCAATTAAAACTTAAATCACACTAATAATTGATCACACAACACTTTAGTTCACTTTATTTCGCTCTGAAGCTTCGCTTGTATCGCCAGTTCAATACTGCCCCGATCGCGGCTTGCAAGGGCTTTAAAACGCTTTTTCACCGAAACATGCAGAATGTTCCAGCAAATACCGGTCCCGACCGACTAATTGCAAGAAGTTCGAGAGTGGACTTTTCTAGAAAGCTTAACTCTTCCATTCGTTACCAGATGACGCTGTTGGGAGAGTTCCAGAAAGATGTTGACACTCCTATTTCTAATACTTGATACCAGATGGCGCTAGTGCCATCAACTGTGGCGTGCAACAATATGTATGATAACTGTGTGAACTTCACATCCCATGAGTTTATTAATGTTGATTCACCTGATCTCTCTCTTATCGTGTCGATTTGCCATCTCATCGGACTCATAACTTGGACACTATAATCCTGTCTATCTCTAGTCGCCGTTGAGACAGGCCGCCGTGGCCGAAATTCTGTCTAGATGACATTAAGCCCATAAACTATATTAGCAAGTAAAAATGGCTAGTGCAATCAATAATTATTTCTTATATACGCGAACACTACGCATTTAAATAACACTAGTTTTTACGGATTTTACCGCGTATATCAGTTTTTAATATTCCCAAAGTGTCGAGCACTTTACAGCACCCATGGTCACGGGGGAACGGTAAAATCCGTAACAACTGGTATGATTTAGTGCAATCCATATTATCATATGGAAGAACTTTAAAATTTTAAATAAATATAATTAAAAAAAAACTAAAGTTTCTTGTTTAATATTTATTTTTTATCTTCAAATAATAATTTAATTAAAAACTAAAGTTTATCAATAATTTTTTCTTCTAAGCTGTGACCTTTAACCAGCTGTTTTCTATAACTGTTGACAACAAGGATGAAGTAAATCGTCACTGAAAAAGAAAACAACTATTAATTATTAAAAACAAGCTATATTAGCAGAAGAAGCACGCAGCATTACGCACATTCTGTGGATGCAGGTGCTACTGACCGTGCTTTGTGGCAAGTCTTCAAGAGAAGCCTTAATATCGCAGTGAACATGTATAGGATATGATGCTGACAATGTGGGTAACAAATAAACCATGTTAAATACTATTATAAATCTAAATTTCATAAGAAAGTTGATATGTTATTCAAATACTTCTAATAATGTCATCCAGACCGAATTTCGTCATCAGGGACTAGTCATCCATCCAAGCCCAAGTGCTCTCTCAATTTCCTCACTCCCATAATCCGATGGAATGGCAATCCAAAACGATCGGAGAGAGATCAGGCGTAAGATCAATGGTTTTACACAGTTTCCGTAACATAACGGTGAAACACCGCCAAACAGCGGGCTGTTTCATAGAAAAACCCAATAATCTATTTGCCCGACTTGGATTTGAACCAAAGATCTCATGATCAGCAGTTGCGCTTACAATCGTTATAAACTAATAAAGCAGTCAGATCATAATATTTTGCCTAGGGTGTCGTAAGATTTACCAATGAGAAATGTCTGAAAGTCTTATGGCTTTCAACTAACGGTGGTATGATTATCCCATATTTGCCAGAAATAAAATACTCAGACCGGTGAAGCATCTAAAATGCGATTTTGGCAAGTCCTGCCTAGTAAAAACGTATAAAAACGCAAGAAGCCCATCCATAGCACTGGACTTTTATCGGTTGTAGAAGAAAAGTTCTTAAAATGTTCTGGTGACTGTGTTCGAAATTGACCAGGATATGATATCCTATATATATAACCATAATAAAATATGTAATCATAAATAAACTTACAAATATACCATAGCATTCCTAGAATTGCGACGATAACTCTGATTCTTTGTCTCCGTGATGTGTAGACCAAAACCAGAAGAATCATCATCATCAACATAAACACCACAAATATCACAGCGTACCAAATCCAAATGGCGCAAAGAAAGACATCATTCTGAAGTGATTTCACATACATGGTCAATAATATTAAATTTTAGTTATCCCAGACTGGACGTTCACCTTAAATTTTATGTAGTCTAATTCTTGCCAACAAGAGGGAAAATGTGCCTAGAGCATACTGGTACCCCGAAAATTATAGAAGGAATTTTAGACGACTTTTGTATTATTTATTTGCACTTCCAGTTAACGACACTGCTCATTATGCTTAATGAGAAATAAAAAGATATCAAAATTCTGAAAAGCATTTCTGTAAATCTGAGAAATCAGAAATAATTTGCATGTCCTTTGTTTACGTTTAAGCAACAATATTATGTTTATGTGTCGGATTTTTAGTCATGAAATAAATTTAAAATAATATGAGGCTTCCTGAATATACCAGTATCAGAATTTGAAGTTACTAATTTTAGTTACTAGTTTTAGTTTTTTTCGTTACAGATTAAAAGAAATTGGACAAATACTTTCTTACAGTTTTGGAGATGAAATCCAATCGTGTATCGATTTGACCATTGCTCATGCATGCATGATCATCATAACGGACTATCAGAGTTGACTGCTAAGCTGCTACCTTCACAGATTGCCTCGTAGATGGGATAATTTTGCTATAATTGCAAACGCTTGGCAGAGGGTTTTTTTTATAGAATAGGGTGACAAGCAAGCACACAGTCTACCTGATGGTAAGTGGTTCTATCCTCGATTACGAGTCAAAATACAGATGCGTTGTCACCTGTAAGGACTAAGATAAAAGCCTCGTTTCCAGTAAAAAGGGTCGCCGGTTCTCTACACTCACCATGCGAAACATCGCAGCATTAAGCTACTATTGTACGCTGGTATTCTGTGAGAGCGTAGTCCTTCCCCGGTCGAGCTGACCCATTCGTGCTACAACTATACTACTAATATAACTCTACCACGTATAAAAGGGTTTGCAACCGTTCGTTCTTGTTCCGGTATATAGTTCATGATAATTGTTTTTTTGGCTGATCGGCAACGATAGCTCACAGTCAGAATTATCAACTTAATGTTCAGATATATTGATCGTAAGAAGCTCAAGCAACGAATCAAATAACCATTAATTTTAAATTAAAGCTATCCCATTTACCTATTACTTCAAAAATATTGTAAAGGAGTCAGAAAGTTGGCAATGTTTCAACCTCTTGCCTCCGACACGTGAAGTCATTGGTCATGTGCCTAATATAACTTCGGTCGTGTTGGATTGTCGTCCAAATGGGTTATGATATTGAGAGAATAGAAGGTGCATCTTTGCTTGTGCACACTGTCACCTGTCCTGTCCTAGCCATCGTGATTGAAGTTCTGTATGGGCATTATTATTATTATTCAAAATTATGTATTATACATATAAAACACATACCGCTTTGAGACCACAAAACAATGCTATACTTGCAGCAAAGAATAAAGCGACGAGAAGCCAAATTGTGACGAGCAGGTAGCTCAGAGGCATAAAGAAGGTGCATCCATACGCCAATGGATGTACCTGAAACAGAAGATTAATAAGTTGAATAAATATGTTACTGTATTAATTTTACTGCAATTTTCCACCTGCACACAGTCCACCTGTTCACATTTAACCTCGATTGAGAATCAAATGCAGATGCGTTATCACCCCTTAGGACTAAGATGAAATGCTTCGATTCCAGTAAAACTGGTCTGCGGCTTTCTACACTCACCATATGAATCACAGCAGCATTAATGATGCTGTAATTCGTATGCTGCTATTTTACGCTGGTATTCTATAAGAGCGTGGCACTTCTCCGGTCGAGCTGACCCATTCGAGCTAGAACCATATTATAATTACAGCGTGGCTCTATCACGTGTAATAAAAATTAAAATTGCAATTAAAAACTGATTTAAATTCGTAAAAAATCCACGTAATTCTAAAGTGAATGCTTCTGAAGTCGGGGCAGCACTGACCGAGATTTTTTTTACCCTTTTATGTCAACTAAAGAATATCACAAGTTGAAGGTTTACTGTTATATTATCCTTTAAATAGCTGCATTAAAAACTGTATCTATTATTTGTCCATGTTTAGCAGTTCTTAAAAATTTACATATTTAATTAAAAAAGAATAATTAAAGTCAGTTCATAAACAAATAAGTTACGCTCGACAATACATAAAAATGTATACCGTTCTCCAGATCGACTTCCGGCCAAATTTCGGTCTGGAGATTAGCCGGAGACTAGCCATCTGCGCAGGACAGGTTTGTAGTAATCAAGTGTATGCGCAAACACAGGTGCTCTCTATTATCATCACTCTCATAGTCCGATGTGACGGCCGGTGACAGATCAGGCACTGATGACCAACGGCTTTACGAGGCACGGGGGTGAAACACCGCTTACTTGCTGACCCCACGCTGCTACTGAGAATTTCTTGACAAAAAAACGCGATAACTGATTTTGTACCGACACGGGATATTAACCAAGGTCCTCATTATCAGCATTGCGTTTTTGGCCACTAGACCAACTAGGTAATCACGAATCATTAAAGTCATTCAAACAAAGAAGTTACGCCCGAACATAAATAAGGGTTGAAGTCTTAATGTTTAAAGTTCCTAGTGTAACTTTTTGACGAGATTGAAGTTGTTATCTTGAGCTTGTATATTCCTTAAATCACTCAGAAGAGACAAAAATAACTACTATGAATAACTAATTTCCACATGAGCTTCTTTAGTAGAGATTTTAAGTCTGATTTCCATGTTTTCGCACCGATTTCTGAAGCTGTAATTCAGATTATTTTTAATCTTAGAAATTATAAATTTTGTAGTAAGTTAGCTCTACAAAGTTTCTATATTATGAAAATATTTCAGTAATAATTCCCTTGCATACTTCGCAACTTTATACGCAGCCCGTAGGCCGGTAAACTTGGGACGTGTTTTACAGTTTCAAGGCTCTTATGGAATTACGAACAACAATGTTTAAGTCGTAATTGGTCTTTGTTAAATTAAATAAAATTAGATTAATTAAAATATAAGGAATATTTAAAGATATCAATATTTAAAAAAATAATTTCATGGAATAAAACTATTTATAAGGATTTAGTAAAATTATTTTATTACATGTGTAAGTACGTACTCGCGTAAATAAAAGAAATCAAAATAATTCGTTATTGAACTAAACATTTAAGTGACAGTGCTAATAATTTACACATTAAATAAAATCAGTTCAGAAATAGAGACGATGTACGATAAAGGTAATGCTTGAAGGATTTCGTATTTGTGCTTTGGCTCTAAATTTTATAATTTTTTTTTAAATTTTAAATTTTAAGTTCCGTTTTACCACGTGCTTATCGGTAACGATAAACATCGTATCACCATTATATAGATTTTGGGAAATAAAAATGTTATTAAAACATTAATATCCATAAACACTATAAAACGAAATAGATTTTTTCATTTTTCATTACAGCCCTTAACAAGTCCACTGCTGAAAATAGGCTTCCCCAAAAAAATGCTACAGTGCACGGTCTTGAGCTACCTCCATCCATCGACTTCCTGCATGTCTTACCAGGTCGTTACTCCATCTAGTGGGGGTTGCCCTACATTATTCAAGAATCGAATCTCGTACTAAATTTGAAAATACGCGAGTAACCGAGGCTCAATCTCCGCCGGTTTCAATGACATTGTTGACTGCAATTTGATATGGATGTCTAAGTGATAAGATTTTGAGGATAATAGGAGTTCCCTATCACGCACTGGAGTAGTTTTACTTTACTTTGTCTTAAAGTAGGAGATATAAATACAGTAGCTATTTTTTTCTTTACTAATTAATATAAATTAGTGTCGACTACACTACACAAATTAATTTATCTATATACTAAAACCTAGTAGCCAGACATTTAAGATTTATATTATGATTGTTACAATAATGATGATGATTTGACGATTTTTAATTGTTAAATTATCAGGAACAAATTTCGTACAATACCAAGTACAGCGACTATCAATGACCCGGTTCTCAAATCGAGTCCAAAAAACGAATCCACATCAGGTAGGTCATCTAATGCAGTCATTGTGAAACAATTAATTTATTAAACACTTCTCAAATTTTATTTATATCTTCAGTGTCAAACTGAAGCTTATTTAAATTGATATTTGAGGACATTTTGGATTTTGATAAGTCCCGTTCAGAATGGCCGACAATAAAAATTTTATTTCTACTACTTTAAAACAAAAATAGTAAAAGAGATTTTTTTATGTTTATCCCGTAAATTATTCACTAAAATATTGAGAAAAAATAATTATTAAATAAAAACTATATTTTACGAAACGCATGGCATTTTTTCTTCCTCTACACGTTCATAAAATCTACCAAAAGAGAAATAAATTCGTACATGGTTAGACAGATTATGAGACCAATTTTAGAAGTACGCCCAATAGAGTTAAAGTTCGCACGATCAGATACGTTTCAAATTTGGTACCATAATTTCTCACCGGTGGCGCTACCTGTATTACTAATATAGAAGTAATAAATAATAATGCTACCATGTTAAAAAACCACAGATTTGTATTGGTTTTCTAACTTTATACATTCAACCCAAATTAGTACGAATATTTTCTTAAAATATCCTAACATTTAGTACTGAGTAATGATTTCTTATGTATGCCGTGTAGTGGCGGTTAAGAATATCCACTACCCCATATCTTCCCGTGGGTGTCGTAAGAGGCGACAGAGGGAGACAGGCAGGAGATGGGCAGCAGCGTCTTCCTGATGACAACTGTGACGTAATAAAAAACTGCGGTTGCCAACCCGCTCGCCAAGCGTGGCAACTATGGCAAATACCCCCCAATGAACAAATACACAAACAGACGGCCCCCCAGTCCCCGGCGGCCCCGCTATTCCTGGCTACGGTGGCGACCATGGTAACGGCGGGGCAGGGGGTGCTAAGAATCTCCGGTGGAGGTTCGGTTGCCACCTACGACGACTCGACCTGGCAACATATAACGCACGCACCCTGAGGACTGACGAGAAGATACTGGAGCTGGAAGAAGAGGTAGACAAGTTGCGCTGGCATATTATTGGATTATCCGAGGTCCGAAGAGAGGGGGAGGACACGGCAATCCTCGAGTCCGGCAACTTGTTCTATCACCGGGAGGGCGACCATCTGTCCCAAGGAGGTGTCGGATTTATCGTCCACAAATCTCTCGTCAACAACGTTGTAAAGATTGGGAGTGTGTCGACGAGGGTCGCGTACCTGATACTCAGAATCACCAAACGGTATTCGCTGAAGGTCATTCAGGTTTACGCACCAACCTCGGCACATCCCGATGAGGAGGTGGAGGAAATGTATGAGGATATTTCCAGAGCCATACATTCCTCCAGAACCTACTACACGGTGTTGATGGGAGACTTCAACGCAAAACTGGGCACAAGAGAAAGCGGTGAGCTGAAGGTAGGGAAATTTGGAGTAGGGCAACGGAACCGAAGGGGCCAGCAGCTGGCCGACTTTATGGAGAAAGAGGGACTCTTTATGATGAACTCTTTCTTCCAGAAGCGGCCCCACAGGAAGTGGACCTGGTCGAGCCCCGACGGTTCGACAAAAAATGAGATTGACTTCATTATGACGACCAGACGTCAACTGTTCAGTGATGTCTCAGTGATCGCAAGGGTGAAAACTGGCAGCGATCACCGAATGGTTAGAGGCACACTGAACCTAAACGTTAAGTTGGAGAGGTCTCGTCTAATGAAGTCAACGCTCCGTCCCCCCTCGTGCTCTAATCCAGAATCCCGAAACCTTTCAGCTCGAGTTACGTAACCGCTTCCAGTGCCTAGAAGATTGCAATGCAGTGGACGATATGAACGACAAGCTCGTGGAAACTGTCCATGCGGTCGGAGCTAAGTTCTGTAAGACCCGCCGCAGAAGAACACAAAAACTCTCCGATCACACTCTTAATCTCATGGCTGTTAGACGGGAGATGAGGCTGCAATCGTCAACAGATTTGACAGCATACAGGCAACTGAACAGACAGATCTCCAAATGCATACGGCGAGACTTACGCAACTTTAATACTTCTCGTATTAAAGAAGCGATCGAGCGGAACCAGGGCTCCAAAGTCTTTGCCAGAGATCTGTCTGCCAGAAAGAGCCAACTGTCAAGGCTGAAGACTGAGTGTGGCAACATCGTTTCCGGGACACCTGAGATTTTGAGTGAGATTGAGAGGTTCTATGGGCAGCTGTACACATCATCGTTGGAGCCACACGCAAGTGTGAGTAACGATCCAAGAGCAAGTCTTATCCGACACTATTCCGATGATATCCCGGACGTCAGTCTAAGCGAGATTAGAATGGCTCTCCAGCACCTTAAAAACGGCAGGGCCCCAGGCGAGGATGGAATTACAGCGGAGCTTCTGAAAGCGGGTGGAACACCGGTACTTGAAGTCCTTCAGAAGCTCTTCAATTCCGTCCTCCATGGTGGCACTACTCCAGAGGCGTGGAGCAGAAGTGCGGTGGTCTTGTTCTTTAAGAAAGGCGACAACGCTCTCTTAAAGAACTACAGACCGATTTCCCTTCTGAGCCGCGTCTACGTGCTGTTTTCGAGAGTCATTACGAATCGTCTCGCACGCAGACTTGACGACTTCCAGCCTCCCGAACAAGCCGGTTTCCGAAAAGGCTTCAGTACCATAGACCACATACATACCCTGCGGCAGATTGTACAGAAGACTGAAGAGTACAATCT